TGCAGCATCCCACAATCTATAAAGAAATCAGGCTTCAAAGAGACTTCTGGCACCCCCCCCATGGGGAGGGGGAGGGGGAGGTTTCATCCTTGGGAAAGTTACGCTGCTAAGAGCAAACAGTTCACGCATAGATCTATCATCCCCTCCCTTCTATTCCCCCTTTTGTTATGACAAACAGAGCTGGGTGTGAGGTTTGACATTCTGCCCCCCCCCAAAGCCCCTCACCCCTGTGGCTTCAGGGGGTGGTGGCCATGGAAAGCGTGCACCAATTTTGCAGCTTTTATGTGCGGTGCTGCCACCTATTCATTATGACTGGAACAAAAACCTTTCAATTTTATCAGGTAATACAGGTGACCCCACTTAAGCTTAGTGTCAAGGATGTCCTATTTGATGAGTCTCACCATCTTCCCTCAAGGGAGGAGGAGCTGGAGGGCATGGCCTCCATTTCGAGGGTCCAGGATCCTTCTTCAGAAGACTGAAATGAAACACAGGATGGATATGACGCAATGATTTGGGCAACTCCACCTGCATAGCCACCTTGTGTCATACATCTCCCTTGTTCCCAGCCTGACCGGACGGGTACGCAGCCTGATAACAATATCTCCTCCTCAGAGGGGGAGGAACAGCCAGCTGCAATAGATCCCATTCATCTTCAGAGACAGGAGATGCAAGCTCTTGACCAGACACCGGCTGTAAGCAATTTGCCCTCTCCTCCAGCTGCGAACGAGTTACTGGCATCAGACACAGAGGAGAGGGAGGAGGCTGGGCCCAGTGTTTTTCCAACGCCCCTTGAGCGCCATCGCTGTCAGTGGAGATCAGAGCTCAGAACCCGTCGCAGTGAGCATTTGATGCAGCGCAGGCACCTATCATCAGATGAGTACTTGCAGGGATGCGTGCCACAATTAGCAGCAGCTAACCAGTCCAGGGAGAGTCAGCTATAAATCCAGGATGGGGGAAGCTGCTTATTGTGGACGCAATGTATACCACGGCTGTATTACCACCCACCTTGTCTCCTGACTTGCTGACTGGAACCTCTGTTACTCTGAACCTGGACTGAACACTGGACCACCTGACTTCTGGACCCCTGACTCTTGGACTGACTGACCACTCCCCTTTCCGGATACCTGACCCTTGGACTGCCTCTTGACCACTCTCCTGCCTTGCACCTGTACTGCGAGTGATTACCTGGTCCCTTCTGCCGGGCTGTCCTGTGGAACTTCTGTCTGCTTCCACACCAGACCCACCGGGGCCAGTACATCTTGTTAATGTGGTGCACAACTTTAAAAGGGCCCACATATTGCCATCCCAGCTTCCGCCCTGGTTGCAGTCCCTTGAGGTTCTTAGTGGAAATGTACACAGAGTCCCCAGGACTCAAATCCCATTCAGGGCCCCTCCCCTTATCCGCATAGTGTTTGTAATCCTCCTTTGCTTTGTCCAAAGTCTTTTGGAGTGCAGGCCACCCCTGAGTCACTTTAGCCAACCAAGTCCCAGCATCCCCTGAGCCCGTGTTGGCATGATCCAAAAGAGGCAGTGGGGCCCCTTCATACCCATGTACCACAAGGAAGGGTGAAATGCCAATGGAGCTGTGTACAGAATTATTATAACTGTACTCCGCAAAGGGGAGCAGTCCCACCCAGTCATCTTGCTGGTGATTTATGAAGCACCTCAAAAATTGTTCAAACACTCGATTTGTCCTTTTGGTTTGGCCAACAGTCTCTGGATGGTAAGCGTTACTCCACCCTAACTCCACCCCCAGGAGCTTCATTAATTCTGTCCAGAATTTCGCAACAAACTGCACACCCCGATCTGATATTATTTTGCGTGGCAAAGTATGGAGTCTAATGATATGTTGCATGGACATCTGTGCCAGCTGCTTGGCTGTGGGTACTTGCTTGCATGGAATAAAATGTTCTTGCTTTGAAAATAAGTCCACCACCACCCATGTTGCCGTCTTCCCCGGGCTCAGAGGTAAATCTGTTATAAAATCCATGGATATAACCAACCAGGGTCAGTTGGGGGTTTCTAAAGGTTGTAGCAGTCCTGGGTTTTTCCCCACTCTCCTTTTGCTCATTAAACATGTCTGGCATGAGGCCACATATTTAAAAATATCTCCTCTCATTCCCAGCCACCATCAAATTTAAAGTCTTTAAATACCCATAATGTCCAGCCATTTTGTTATCGTGCGCCATCAACAGTATTCCCCCCCCCCCTCAGTGCTTCAGGGACAAATAGTTTGTTTTGCGGATATCAGCACCCATCCTCCCTTTGTGCTAAAGACCCATCTTTCTCAATGTCTGCCTTATTCTTGTCTGTAAAAGCAGCCTTAAATTTCTGTGTCCAGGATGCTGCTTCTGCTTGCTGCATCCTTTTCGCTTTCCTGTGTGTCATCACTGCCCCCACCAACTGAGCGGGTGTAAACATTGTGTCAATCACTTCCTCCCTCTGGCTTGCATGTTGACGGAAGTGAGATAAAGTGTCAGCTAGGAAGTTTGCTTTCCCCGGGAAGTGCTTAAGTGTGAAACAAAACTTAGAGAAAAACTCCGCCCATCTTAGCTGTTTGGCATTTAGGTACCTTGGGGCTCAGTGCTTCTCAATTTTTATGATCAAGCCAAACTTCAAACGGAACCTGGGGCCCCTCTAGCCAATGTGGTCAAAGCTAATTTAATGGCAGTAGCTTCTTTGTCCCATACCGCCCAATTTCTCTCTGCATTGGAGAACTTTTTTGACACATAACCTAAGGGGTGTAAATTCCCATTGTCACCTTTCTGTAAGATTGCCCCACCCATTGCCACATCTGACGCATCCACTTGTACCACAAATTGCTTGGTTTCATCAGGATGATTTAGCACAAGTTCTGAAGTGAATAACATTTTTAACTTCTCAAAAGCTTGCTGGCATTCATGGGACCAATCCAGCTGGCTGCTTGCTTTATTGCACTCCGGCCCCTTTCCCTTGGTTTTTAACAAGTCTGTAAGGGGTAGTGTTACCTGGGCAAAATTTGGGATGAATGGACAGTAGAAATTGGCGAACTCGAGAAATGATTGTAATTGTCACCTAGTCTGTGGGGCCTCCCACCCCACTACATCTTGGATCTTTTTAGGGTCCATGCCCAAACCCTTCCCGGAAATGCGATATCCCAGAAAATCTAAGTTTTCCTTGTGAAACACACACTTGGAGAGTTTGGAAAACAAATGGTTCTTATAAAGGGCTTTCAGCATGTCTCACATCAATTTGACATGTGACTGCCACAGGAGGTGGCGGCGGCTACAAGCATGGACAGCTTCAAGAGGGAACTTGATAAATATATGGAGCAGAGGTCCATCAGTGGCTATTAGCCACAAGGTATAGATAGGAACTCACAGGCTGGGGCAGGTGATGCTCTGTATTCTTGGTGCTTGGGGGAGGCAACAGTGGGAGGGCTTCTAGTGTCCTGGCCCCACTGATGAACCTCCTGATGGCACCTGGTATTTTTGACCACTGTGTGACAGAGTATTGGACTAGATGGGCCATTGGCCTGATCCAACATTGGCTTCTCTTATGTTCTTATGACTCCTTATCTTTTGAATATATTAAGATATCATCAAGAAAAACTAGAGCCCCTTTGTACAGGTGCTTGTGCAAAACCTCGTTGATCAAATTCATAAAAAACCCCGGTGCCCCGGCCAATCCAAACAGCATGACCAGGTACTCAAACTGTCCCAATGGGGAGTTAAAAGCAGTCTTACACTCATTCCCCTCTCTGATGCGTACTCTAAAATGTGTCGCGTAGGTCTAGCTTTGAATATGTGTCACGTAGGTCTAGCTTTGGCCTTGTGAGGCCTCAGCTAGCAGGTCCTTAATGAGGGGGAGGGGGTAAGCATTCAACATGGATACTGCATTCAGCCCTCGGTAATCCATGCAAAGCCTCACCCCCCCATCTTTCTTTTTCCTAAACAATACTGGGGCTGTGCAAGGAGAGGTGGCTGGCCGGATGAAGCCTCGAGCCAGATTCTCGTTAATGAACCACCGCAGCTCTTCCTTCTGAACCAGACTCATTGAGTACAATTTCCCTTTTGGCAATTTGTGGCCCGGCAGTAATTCAATTGCACAGACAGTCTTGTGGTGGTGGTGGGTAACTCATCTACTTCCCGCTCCTCAAACACCCAGGCTAAGTCTCTATACTCTGGTGGGATGAGGTTCGACTCATCTCATGCAAGATAGCCTCGCTCGGCCACCGACTGGGGCTTCCTCCCCCATTCAGGACGCCATAGATGCTCTTGGCACCAAGAGTTAAGGAAAATAAGAGTCCCGGTACTCCACTGTACATAGGTGTTGTGTGCTTTGAGCCATGGGCCACCAGGGACCATGGGGAACTTTGCAGATGGGTTCACTATGAAAGTCCTCATTTCCCAATGGGCAGAAATCCCCACAGGTAAATGAATTGTATGATGCTGACAGGCCTGCATTGGGGTCCCATCCATCTGGGTAAATACTATGGGTGATCTCAGTTTATGTATCTTGGCCCCCAACCCAGTGACTATGGTCAGGCTGATTAAGTCCTGGGTGCACCCAGAGTCTATTAAGGACCGCACCTTAATGTGCGTTCCCCCTTTGGGGTTGATTACAGTTACATTTTCCCTCGACCTGTCAGCTGGTGCCCTTCACAGCAGGCCCTGGCCTTTTCCCACTGGCTGGGGTGACTCGCTTCCACTGGATGAGGACCCCTCCGAGGTGTCTTGAGCTTTGGCTTGCAATAATTTGGTTGCCTTGGGAAGTTTACTTGGGGTCTTTGGTCTCTTCTCCTTGGTACCTTTCTGCTACCCTCTTTCTGGGCTCTTCATGTCAGGGCAGTTTGCCGTGAAGTGCCTAGATTTCCCACACTGTAGACAAAATCCCATTCACATCCGATACTCTCGGTCTCCTCCAGCTTGAGGGGGTCTTCATATTGCTGGTGTAGGGCTTGCATGAAGGCATCAACATCTCATAGCTCCGGCGCCCCGACATTGTAGAGCCCCACAAACCAGTCAGCTGCACAATCTCGTAGTTGGGATTCCACATAGTCAACTCGGTGCTAATCAGAAGTTAAAGTGTGCCCCCACTCTTGCAGGAAGTTGTGCACCTGTATTGCAAAGAAGGCTAGCTTCCCAGAGCTGCCATCAAAAGTCGCTTCCAAAGCATCTCAGGGCCATTCTCTCTCTGGTCTGGGAACCATTGCCCCCGCCCATGCGGGTCAGTGCCGCCAGCGGCACCACAGTGGGCTCTTCGGGTTCCTCTTCTTCGGACTCCTCTGGCTCCTTCTCCATCAATTCTTTCACTACCCTTGGGAGGTTTTTGATGAGGAATTGGAGCTCCTCCTTTAATTCCCTCACCTCGGCACTAAGGTTGGTGTTGCTCCAGTTGGAATAGGCCTCCTCCTCACACTCAGCCATCAATCTCACTCGCTCCGGGTCATCATGGAAAGTGTGTGATACTCATCTCTTCTCCCGCTTTGGATGTCCTTGCACTCCTCTATGCCCCGGAGTACTCAGAACCCAGGCAGGCTCTTCCCATTGGTCGCTGCTCTCCCACCTGCTTGCTTCTTTGATTTGGTGCCTGTGGTTTTCTCTTCGTGTTTTTGGTCAGGGTTTGTAGCTGGGTTCTTGGTTTCAGACCTGGTACCTGCCCCCGCCCCAGCGCCTCCACATTCGTCTGCCATCATGGTGGTGGGTGACAGAGAGTAAAGGAGTTCTAACACTGTCAGACCCCTGGCTGAGTTACTCTCAACAACAGTCTCTTTATCAAAAGATTTGTTTATTGAGAAAAGTAAGCTAGTTCCAGGTTAAAGCATCCTGTGATAGAACTAATGATTTTTGTTAGTTTCCAGTTAATAAAGGTAATTTGAAAGGACCCCTTCTCAATAGCAGTCACACACACATGTCACACTCATTGTACCTAATCACTACATCTACCCCACCATGGGAATGCAGCATCGCACTATCTATAAAGAAATCAGGCTTCAAAGAGTCTTCTGGCATCCCCCCCCCCATAAAGAGTGGGAGATTTCATCATTGGGCAAATGGTGCACACATACATCACTCCCCTCCCTGTAGGAATTTCTATTCCCCCTTTTGTTATGACAAACAGTGCTGGGTACGAGGTTTGACACAGCTGAACACCATCCCAGATAGGACGATTCTGCATCTAGCGTTCGCTCCACATTTTCTCAACTGGGAGGAAAAATTGCAGCTCAAAACCACATTCAAATACCTTGGGGCAATGCCGTACATAAATCTATGCAGAAGGTACAATTAAATCCGATGATCAAAGAACTTGAAAGTGGCATGGAGTGCGGATGGCTACCATAAATCCTGATAATCAAAGGGAGTGAAACCAGCATGCAACACAGAGGGGAATTTCTGTTCCAGCGTGGGTTTCGTAAAAACAATGGAGGGAAAAGCCAATACAGAAGCAGCTATAGTTTAGGCAGAGGTTTGGAGGCTGTGGCCAGTTGGCTAAAACAGAGCCGGCTGAAACTAAATCCACCAAAGATGAAGGTCCTGTACTTGAGTCGTGGGAAGACAGGACTGGGGATCCAACTCCCAGCTCTTGAGAATGTGACATTAACACCAGTGCCAACAGTGAAGAGTCTGGGAGCAACTTTGGATGCCTCACTTTCAATGGAGGCCCAAATCACGAGTGTTGACAGACCAGCATTTCTCCACCTTCGTCAGGTCAGGCAACTGGCTCCCTACCTCTTTCCCCTCAACTTAGGTACAGTGATCCATGCAACGGTCCCCTCCAGGCTGGACTACTGTAACTTGCTTCATGCAGGGCTACCCTTGAGACTGACCCAGAAATTGCAGCTGGTCCAGAATGCAAAGGCACGTGCCCATACAGAAACACCATTAAGAGCCCATATATAACCTATACTCCGCCAGCCGCACTGGCTCCCAGTTGAATTCCAGATCAAGTTAAAGGTTTCATTTTTGACCTTCAAAGCCCAATGCGGTCTGGGACCATCATTCCTTTTCTCCTGGTATGTCCCTCAAAGAGCCTTGCACTCTATGGATCATCATCTTCTAGTGATCCCTGGTCCAAAAGATATCTGCTTAGAGCGATCTACTGATGAATGGCTGCCGGACATGGCCCCAGGAGATCTGGACAGGGCGTTACAAGCTGTGGCTGGATGGTTGTGACAGAGCTGACTGAAGTTAAACCCATCCAAAATGGAGGTCCTGCACCTGAGTTGTGGGGGATTGACTTAGGGAATCAGGCTCCCAGCCTTCGATGGGCTCCATTGATGTTAACATTGAGGGTGAAGAGTCTAGGGGTGTTCCTGGATGCCTCCCTTTGTGTGGAGGCCCAGGTCACCACCACTGCCAGGTCTGCCTTTTTCCATCTGAGGCAGATCAGGCAGTTGGTCCCACATCTCACCTCTGGGACCTGGCTACAGTGGCCCATGCAATGTCACTTCCAGACTGGATTATTGTATTCCTCTTATATGTGGGGCTGCCCTCGACTCTGCTCTGGAAGTTGCAGCTAGTGCAGAATGTGGCAGCCCGGGTGTTGACACCTGTATGAGCTCATATCCATTCAGTGCTGCATGAACTGCACTGGCTGCCTGTTGAATATTGGATCTGTTTCAAGGTGCTGGTGCTTACCTTTAAAGCCCTATACAGTCAGGAGCCAGCATACCTTCGGGACCACCTCTCCCCATATGAGACCCATAGGGCACTGAGGTCCACAAATCAATATCTTTTGGTAGTCCCCGGCCCCAGGGACATCCGACTTGCCTCTACCAGGGCCAGGGCCTTTTTGGCCTTAGCCATCACCTGGTGAAATGAGCTCCCATATGAGATCAGGGCCCTGTGGGATTTATTACAGTTCTCAGGGCCTGTAAGACAGAGCTCTTCCACCAGGCTTTTGGTTGAGGTGGGAGATGTAACCCCCCCCCGGCTGATCTCCCATCAGTGGCCTGGATCTAAATAGACATCTGGGTACCAACTCTTCTGTTGTATCTTAATTGATCTGATCGACATCTTAATTGACATCTGATTTAATTTATTTTACATGGTATTTTATGATTCTATATTATTTTAAATTGTTGTTCTAAAGTTATTTTTAATTGAATTGTATTATATTGTATTGATACTGATGGAACCCGCCCTGAGCCTGCTTACGGGGAGGGCAGGATATAAGTTCAATAAACAAATAAACAAACCAGAACTAGAGCCTTTTTAGCTCTGGCACCGGCCTGGTGAACACTCTCGCAAGTGAGACCCAGGCCCTGCAGGATTTAATATGGTTCCACAGGACCTGTAGAATGGTGATGTTCCACCAGGCCTATGATTGAGGTGACAAAAGTTCATCTGGATTGGCCTCCCCCTGCTCTGTCATGCTTTGTCATGCTCTGTTAAGCCTTGTTATGTTTGATTTTGTTTTGTCTCTTCGTCCGCCTACTTGCCTCAGTATGAGTTAACATCTACTGTTGCATAGCCTGTAGGAGTGGATGTATTAATTTATATTATTGACTGCCGTCTTATTGTCTAACTAGGAATAAGTCTCGTTGTGGAAATAAATACAATGAGCTCTAGAAAGAGGCTCTGGGAGAGTGCCCCGGCCTCGGGCACTCAGCATCAATTTGCTGTGGCGATCTCAGCAGGGTATAATGACAAAGAGTCCACTATTTCCTCCAGAGGAACTGATCTCTGCTACCTGAAGAGCAGTTGTAATTTTGAGTGATTCCCACCCCTCACCTGGAGATTGGCAACAATGGTTTCCCAGGAGGAAATGGCTGGTTTGAAGGGTGGAGTCTATGGCATTGTACGTGTCTGAGGTCCCACTCCTCCTCTAACCTCACCCTCTCCAGGCTCCACCCCTCAAATCTCCAGAAATTTCCCAACCTGGAGTTGACAACCCTATCTCCCTCCCAGGCAACCATCAATATACCTTTATCTGCCCCTCTGACTTCAGCTTTCCATCTCCTCCCCCCTCCCTCCTGGAGACCAATTGTAATTCTGACTGATCTCCAGCCCCCACCTGGAGATTGTATAAATATAAAGACACTCCGTGAATGAATTACGAACAAAAGCAGAAAAATTATATTGTATGAAACAATTCAAACAATTTGAAATCTTTGTTAAAGAATCCTTATACATATATTTTTAAAGAGCTAGGATCAAAAAGTACTTGATACAAAGTAGGAATACAATTAAAGTCCACAATTCCTTTGTATAAAAAACTTCAGAGTACAATAGTTCCACGTCTTATGTGAATACAGCTATACACGGCTGGCTTCACTGCCACGTTCACGTTTCGCTTCTTCAGATAGCTGGTACTCTTTAGCTGTGAACTGAAAATTATATTTCCATGTCATATTTACTATATTACAACATATTAACTATATTGTGGATTTTAATTGTATTCCTACTTTGTATCAAGTACTTTTTGATCCTAGCTGTTTTTATTTTTATATATATATATATATATTCTTTAACAAAGATTTCAAATTGTTTGAATTGTTTCATACAATATAATTTTTTTGCTGTTGTTCGTAATTCATTCATGGAGTGTCTTTATATTTGTACAATCTCCTCCAGTGAGCTCTCATTTTTGATATACAACCCACCTGGAGACCCAGTGTAAGGAAGCCAGAGTTTGGGGAGGGGAGAGGAGAGGAGAGGAGAGGCCTCAGCTGAATAGAATGCCATAGAGGCCACCGTCCAAAGCAGTTATTTTTTCCTTGGGGAAGATCTCTTCTCTGGAGTTCAGTTGTGATACCCAGCGATCTTCAGGCTCCACCTGGAGGTTGGCTATCCTAGGCATAGCAGTTAGCACTTCAGAGCAGGGTCTGCCAGACACAGGTTCTTGCTGTGGAAGCTGTGATTTCAGACCAGTTACAGACTTTCAGCATAACCCCTCCCCTGCCCACTGCCAGCTTGGCAACTTATTTAAATTGTAATAAAAGTGTTCAAATAGAAAAAACATAAAGGCATTTTTGGTATTATAACATCTGGATAATAATATGAGTTCATTAAATGTCAGCATAAGCAATCTCAGATCTTCAGTTAGATTTCTTC